TGTGTATATTGAATATAAGGATGCACAAGGCTGCCAAAACAAAGGACTCGAATACAGGTTGTGGCCCGCACCGGCTGGTCTGGATGCAGGTTGTGGCCTGGACTGCCTGGAAGGTGGGGCGTTCTGATCGTAGCTATGGATTTTTTCGTAATCCTTCTAAAGGCAAAAGCAGTCCTTGCATAATGCCTCTTGCGGGTCCACGAGAAACTCGATCAGGAGGCCGTACTAGGCAGCACGACTGTTGAGGAAGCTCCCCCCTCTTTTTTTTTGGGGGGGGGGCGGTCATGTCTTTTCACACAGCGCCTGGAGCAGGTTTTGGACGTTCTTTGGCCGGTGTGCTGTGACATTTCACACTGTGCCTGTGGAAGCCCCGACGATTTTACTTTGGTCCATGTTGCCAATGTTTGAATGCAAGTACGTAGTTGTTGCGTTCGGAGACCTGTGACCTTTTTTTGGGGGGGGGTCGTGCTCGGGGGCCAGGCTTTGCCTGCGTAGCACGGCCGACGAGGCACGCAGGAGGAGGAGGAAGACATGCGGAGAACACTATAGGAGGAGGAGTGGCGAGCCGTCCCCACACTGCGGGAGGAGGAGGAGAGAGGAACGGAGAAGAACATAATCATGGAAAAAAGGAACAACTGGGCACGTGCACCACATGGCGTATGTATGAGGCGGCGGAGGCGCAGGAGGGGGGAAAGAAGCAGCAAGAAAAGAAAAAGGTGGGAAAGGTGCGAGGTGAGGAGGAAGAGGAGCAAGGGGTGGAGGTGTGAGATGAGGAAGAGGAGCTGTGGGGTTGGGATGTCTGCAAATGTATAAGCAGCAAGAGTAGAGGAGCGGGAGGAGGACAGGGAGCGCAAGGAGGAGCGGGAGCGGGAAGAGCTGGAACGGCAAGAGGACGGTGAATAGGCCGAGTGGGCGGGGGGGGGAGGAGGGCAATGAGGAAGGGGGGGGTTGAAGCAAGTGGAGGTAGCCGAGGAGGTGGAGGAGGAGGAGGAAGCTGAGGAGGAGAAGTATGGAGGAAAGAGGAGACCCAAAGAAAGAGGGAGGGCAAGGAGTGGGAGGAGAGGAAGCGGCAGGAGCAGCAGAAGCGGGAGGAGGAGCAGGAGCAGGAGCAGCAGCAACGTCAGGAGGAGGGGTGGAGCAGCNGGAGAGGAAGCGGCAGGAGCAGCAGAAGCGGGAGGAGGAGCAGGAGCAGGAGCAGCAGCAACGTCAGGAGGAGGGGTGGAGCAGCTGAGGTAGCTGAGGAGGAGGAGGAGGAGGAGCGGCAGCTACGCCGGGAGGAGGGGTGGAGCTAGTGGAGGTAGCCGAGGAGGAGGAGGAGGAGAACGAGGAGGAGAATGGAGGAATGAGGAGACCTGAGCAAGGACATAGGGCAAGGAGTAGAGGAGCGGGAGGAGGAGAGGGAGTGGCGGGAGCAGCAGAAGCGGGAGGAGCAGCAGGAGCAGGAGCAGCAGCAATGCCAGGAGTGGTGGGAACCAGAGGAGCATCAGTGCATTGCATGCGGTATGACTTGTGCAATCTTTGATTCAGGAGTATGCCTTCGTGTTTCTACAAGATCACCAAAAAAACCCAACTCAGCTTTACGCAAAATAGCCAAAGTGAGACTAACCAATCGAAATGAGGTTGTTGGCCACATTCTGGGAGAAGGCTATTATTTACAAGAGCATTCTATTGTTATGGTTCGAGGAGGTCGAGTCGTGTACGACTTATGCAATCTTTGATTTAGTACGTCGTCGTGCTCGTTATTTCAAGATCCAACACCCATCTCAGACGTGCTGATGTGAACCTTCCACGTATGATGTGAATATTTTTGGGTTGCTGGATCACTTTTCTATACCTCTGTGCTCAACTGGGAATTTAGTTCTCACCGCCACCTATCAGACGTGGGGGAGTTTCCATTCAGTGTATGTTTAACCGCCACTACAATCTTCCAGCGATTTCTTTTTGCCTGGGGGGTTATTGTCCGAGTCCTTGGGGGCTCGGCCTATTGAAATTGTTTGGCCTTTGCTGTGCCAGCCAAAAGAAACTATTAATTACGCACCGCACATGATGATCAGCGCAGGACTTTCTTGGATGCATTTGAGAATAAGTGGCAACTACAGCAACATTTATGTCAAAAGGGTATGTCAAGACTCAAAAGGGTATGTTGAGCTATTCTGAGATGGGAAAGAATGGCTTTCTTGCACTTTGTGCTCCTATGCATTGTGTAATTTTGCAGGAGAAGGATGAGAAGCTGGATGGAGATGCAGCGTTGAACAAACTGTTCCAAGACATATATGCAAATGCGGATGAAGACTCACGGCGGGCAATGAACAAGTCTTTTGTAAGTAGTATTCGATGCTATTCATATGATTTTATATTGCAAATTCATCTTTCCTCGATGATAGCTGTTCTCACTGAGCTGAGGAGCTCTAGTTTGTGAAGGTCCTGATCCATTTGTGAATGTGACTGTACACATGATCAGCATCTAAGTCCTTGTGCTGACAGAAAATTGAACTGTGAGCTGTTTGGGGATTAGGCATGCGTATTACATAGAGGTTGGTAGGGAGTGGACCTTGACAGAAATGTGTGTTTCTTACTCTTCTTTTTTGTGTCACATTATTGTGTTCTGGGTTTGAAAACAAATGTCTGATGGATGTTTGTGTGCATTCTTTGTTTTTTTTACTTTTTAAATTTTTTATTGGTCTTGTAGCATCCTTGCAACTGCTCAGCGCACCACACTGTCCAGGACCTCCCCAACTTCCGTACAAAACCGTACCAGTACCTACAGTACGGCACGGGACTGCGTGCTGTCCGGTGCGGCCATCTCCCTTCCGGTACGGTTTCGTGTGCGAAATGTGTGGAGATGTCCACTCCTCCGTCTGGTCCTGCACACCTGTTGATGAACCGACCAGACTGGACACACCACCGTCTTCACCCGAGTAGAATGTCCGGTCATTAACGCTGCATCTGGACCGAAAGTTGTGCCAAATACAGCTATAATGACCGGGCGTTCTATTCGGGTGAAGACGGTAGGAAGACTGCTGCCGCCATCAGATGGATCAGCGCCTGCCTCAACCCCCCCTTCAGGGGATTTATCTTCATGGCAATGCCACTTTATCAAAGTGGGACTATACATGTGGCCCGTCATCATGAACATGCGCACAAAACTGCAGAAGAGAAGCCACAAATTCAGCCGTGTCCTGCGACCACTCCGAAAAACACATCCCCCACCCCCTTCCCCTCCTAGCCCTCTCACCCCCGGAAACCCTATGAAATCAGCCACCCCCTCCTAGTCCCGTACCCCCTTAAAACCCATTGGAAATATCACTTCACTGCTTTTGCAAAACATAAATGGCAAAAAAAGCATTGCCTTTCACAAACGGAAATTATTGCTTTAAATGATTTTCCAATTTTCCATGAAAAACAAAAGTGTCGATGACAATGTGACAAGGGGGCTTGATCTGTAGAGTTCCATTCAAAAATAAATAAATAAACATAGTGACGGGCATGACAAGGAGGATATGAGATGGAGGAGGAAGACGAGGAGATAGAGGAGGATGATGAGGAGGGGGTGAGGAGGACGACGACGACGACGAGGTGGTGAGGACAAGATACCATCACAGTTTGAACCAGGGTCACCAGCCCGTACGTACGGAGGTCCTTGGGTCGACCTCTGTACGTACTGGCGTTCGGGGTCCCGTTCGGTGTCCAAACCCGACGGCGTTCTTCCCCCGCCAAAAATTATTTCAGTGCCTAAAACAAGTTTGTTTTTCTGATTTTTTTTGGGGAGTTCTTTATGATGTGAGGTTTATGCCTATAAATTTTGAAGTCATTGCTAAGCCAAAAAAAAAAGAAAAATCGCCAAAGATGGCGGTGTCAAAACGTGCTCGCCCATTCACTGTTTTGTTTTTATTTTTTTTTTCACTTTTTACTTTTTGTTTTCACTTTATTGCAGGGCCTAAACAATTTTATTATTTTCTTAAACTTTTTAATGATTTTTGTATTATGTGAAGTACACATCTGTAAATTTTCAGGGCATTTGGTTGTGGCGAGAAAAAGTGAAAAATCGCCAAAGATGGTGGTGTTGAAAACGTGCTCGCTCACTCACTAATTTTAATCCTCTTTTCATTTTTTCATATTTTTATTATAGTTTTATTTTCTGTATTATATTTTCTATTTCAAGTTTGGTAAGGAATTTGGATATAATGCTCAGGCAAATGTTGTTTATTATACTTTATTTTATTTTTCTTCATAACGTAGTTTTTTTTTAGATTTTTTTGAATTGTGTTTTTTTTTCGTTTTTTTTTTTTTGGGTCTGCGTTCGGCCGGGCTGAACGCATCCCCAAGGCGTCCTGGACGTTCGGGCGTTCGGCCCGCCCCGAACGCAGGTTACCCTGGTTTGAACTAAGAAGTTTCCATTAAAAATAAGGAAAGAAGTGACGAAGCTGTGATAAGGAGGATGAGAGATGGAGGAGGAGGGGTGGAGAGATGGAGGAGGAGGGGTGGAGAGATGGAGGAGGAAGGCCAGTCCACGAGAATCAGTGTGGATGGAAGACGACGACGAGGAGACAGAGGAGGAGGAGGAGGAGGATGAAGACGAGATACCATCACAGTTTGAACTCCGAAGTTTCTGTTAAAAAAAAAAGTGACAAGGCCGTGACAAGGAGGATGAGAGATGGAGAGATGGAGGACCAAAGATGGACGAGGAGGGATGGAGGAGGACGATGACGAGACATGGCGGAGGATGAGGACGACGACGGCGACGACAACGAAATACCATGACAGTTCGAATTTGAAAGTTTCCATTAAAAAGAAAGAAAAAAGTGACGAGGCTTTGACAAGGAGGATGAGAGGTGGAGGAAGAGAGATGGAGGATGAGAGATGGAGAGATGGAGGAGGAAGATGGGCGAGGAGGGATGGAGGAAGAGGATGAGGAGACATGGAGGAGGACAATGACGACGATGAGATACCATCACAGTCAGTCCGAAGTTCAAAGTTTCCATTAAAATGTTACGATCCTGGCCAATTTCGAAGTATACATTCATCAGAAAGTTCAATGCCCTCCAATTGCAAAAAGAAATGAATGAACTTGAGAGGAGAGAGAGGGAAAGAAGAAGTAGAAGATGATGTACTCCAGCATAGGCCAATGACAAGGCTTCTCTTCTTCGCCAGCCAATCTCCTCATCCTTGTCTCCTCCCCTCTTATTCAAACAAGAAATAACAATAATAATGTTGAATGGCTGAACCAGAATCGATGGCCGAGTCCCACTTCTACTGCAGGCACAACATGAGGTCCACCATAGCCATGGCCACCCTTACTCTTCCGCTACATGCAGGCCGAGGCTGTGGTGGAGCACTGCGGGCTCTACCGTCCTGTCCAAAGGACAACCCCAAGCAGCTATGTTGCTGCCCTTCTGTCCCAAGGTCAACACCAGGCAGCTATGCCGCTGCCCACTCAACCGCCATGCCAGACTCCGTCCCGAGCTGCCTTGATGCGGCACTACCCCAACTGGGGCCTTCCAGATGCAGCGCCTGACAAGGTGATGAAGATGGTGTCCACCATAGCCAGGTAGGTACCTTGCATCTCTCCTCCTTGGTCCCTTTCTCATTCCTCCCCCTAACGGTAGAGCTCCACCATAGCCAAGGTGGAAGCTCCCGGCTTCTTCCTCCCAGCAGCCCTGTAGTACCCAGCGCTACTCCAGCCAGCGCTCCAGCAGCGTGTCGCCAAACTTGCAAACTGAAGAATGAGGCGGGGCTCTTCCCTCGGCCTCTTGATATAGCGGCCTACTTGCCTCCTGGGCGGTGACTTCCAGACCGCTTGGCCTTCCAAGCAACCGGTACCTCCTCCCTTTCGAAGGGAAACATCATTGCAGACTCTGATATTGCCCTCACAGGCTCTAGACTCAGACTGGATGGACTGGTACCGGCCTAGACCTAGCCTACCGCTACTGGGCCTCTAAAAATGCCAAATTTATCTTCTTCTGCTCAGCCTCGAGTACCCGGCACATCTACTGCTAACGGGTGCGGTACCGGCCTACCTGCTACTTGAGTGTTTTCTCCTGCTCTAAGCATCATGGGCCCCTGGCTCCGCTACTTGACTGTTTTCCCTGCTGCAACCGTCAATGCCACGACCACAGGTAAGTACCGGCCCTACGGGCCTGCCAAACAAGCAAGTACCCTTGCGGGTCACACACACACTTATATTGACAAGCACTCAGACAGGCAGCACACACACTCATACCGATAAGCACTCAGACAGGCACGCAGGTCGACAGCACGCACACACACAGACTTAGAAAACTCAGCAGAATGCGGGAATCTCAGCAAGACATCCATTCCATGGGCAGAACTCCAGAAATCAGCAGTGTTCTCAGTCTGTGTTATGGCGGGTCATTACAAAAAGAAAAAAAAAAAGAAGTGACGTGGCTGTGACAAAGTGGATGAGAGGTGAAGTCGAGAAAAGGAGAGACAGAGGAGAGGATGAGAGGTGAAGTCGAGAAAAGGAGAGACGGAGGAGGAAAGATGGACGAGTTTGGTGGAGAGATGGAGGAGGAAAGATGGACGAGGAGGGATGGAGGATGGTAGTGAGGAGAGATGGGGGGAAGATAGACGAGGAGAGATGGACGAGGAAGGGTAGAGGAGCTGGGCGGGTCAGTTCGAGGATGATATCTCAAGGCAAGGCTGTCGCTCTTTTAAATGGAAAAAAAAAAGAAAAAGAAAAAGAAAAACGAGAAAGAAGAGGAAGGAAAGAAGGAAGGATTTAAAAAAAAGAATGTGCTCGTTAGTACAGTAGGCAGATATGTTCGTTAATACCCCAGGAAACATGTTCAATTATTTCAATACCCCTTGTGAAATGTTGGAGTGAATGTTCTTGCTTGCGAAACATCACCCTTCTGTTTCAGTTAAAAAGACCTTATGATATACATCTCACATTCTGAAATACGATTGAAATACCAAAATACCGCTTGTTTTTCTTTTCGGGTGTGTGTGTGTGTGTTGTGCAGAGTGTGTGTGTGTGTGGGTGCGGAGTGTGTGTGTGTGTGTGGGTGCAAAGTGTGTGTGTGTGTTTCCCTCTTTACTTATCATGACAAATTGGCACAGGATATCTTCAGCGTGTTTGTTGTGCATCCGCACCGCATTTCTAGTATGCTTACAGCCTTTCACCTCTCTGACATAAAGCTGAGGAACTTGGTACTGTACATTTTCAGTGACTTTGGACAGGGGTCTGATGCTGGGGCTGGGGTCTGATGCTGGGGTTTGATGCTGGGGTCTGATGCACCCATGTAAGCTGGACCTAACCTTGCAATCTGTGGCCTGTTTCTATCATTTCTGTTTCTCTGCGAAATGTGCACAGCAAGAGTCGAATGGGACTGTCCTGTCTACCAATTGGAAAGAGATTGGGCAGAAGAAGGTAGACTCGACCCCACCGACAGGTATGGAGGCGAAGAATTTTGAGTACTGACGTGAAGGAGAGAATTCTCCATTTGCATCCAAGTCTCACAGATGGAGCGTCTGCAAATGTGCAAGGAACGGTGAAGAATTTGGCTGAGAAAAGTCAAGCTCCTTTCATGGGAGCATATTATGTGACTTGGAGGTGTAAGCAGATGAACCATACCAGCACTGGTACATATCATTGTGGCAAATGGAAGATTTTCTTTTGTCGGCAAGAAGGTAAACAGTATAGCTGTTTGCCGGCTTTTCAGTTAGTAGTAGAGTGTGGGTGATTGGGTGATTTGGTGAGAGGAGTCGCATTCAATTGTGTTGTTTGATGGCAAGCGTACTCGATATGTAGAGGGCAAGGCTTGCCTATGCTACAAAGTTATGATGGGAGGGTTGTTGTATGTGTATCGTGGTATTTGGGGGTACCGGTCTCGATTTGTTTCACCCCTCGAGGCAACCAATTCTGTTTTGTTCCGGCGTTTTACGTGAAGGGACTTGGTTTGTAGTCTGAAACGAGCGGAGTCCTAAACTGGCAGAGCATCTTTCTTCTTTGTTCCTTTTGATTCTTATTTTGTTCCCTTCCTCTGGCCTCTGTACTTAGAGTCTAGAGCACCGCTTGCTATTGTGAAGATGTGGCCAGCTTATTGTGACAATACCCATATACACCCAGAAAACCTGACTGCAGACCTCGCAAGGAGCTTGCAGGGCTTTGATTTGCGCAACTGTTTTGGGCCAACCTCTGTAAATTCTGGTTTGAAAGTTTCATTCCTTTTGGCTAGTACATATATCGGTTCTAGTACATAGGTCGGTTCTAGTACATAGATCGGTTCTTCGTGTTCCTTACCGCTTCACATAGATCATTTCTTCGTGTTCCTGACCGCTTCAGCGGAGGATGCATGGCCTGTGTTTTGATATTTGAACTGGCTGAATGGAGTTCTGAGCTTTCTTGCATGGGAATGGGGATATATCGTATTATAATACTATTATTGCTTGTTGCATTTTGAAAGCATTGTTTTGCATGTGTGTGTGTGTGTGTGTGTGTGTGTGTGTGTGTGTGTGTGTGTGTGTGTGTGTGTGTGTGTGTAGGGAGGCAGTTGCTGGGGACTTGCCAGTGTTGTTCAGCGGAAGTGTATTATTTGAATTTATTTCGCTGTTCGACTTCTGGGTGCTGGACATCATATGCCGATATGGGATGTGTAGCATTGTGTACTTCTTTCCAGGTCATTGCGCCTGACACGATGTGCGTGTTTGACAATGTCTCTTAGGGACGTGCCCCAGTGTGTAGGATTCCGACTTTGTGGCTGCACAATTTCTGTGGAGTGGAGTTAACTCGTTCGTCGCACAATTTCCGTGGAGTGTATAACTCGTTCGTTCAACTTCATTGTAGATCTGTGATTGTCTGAAGGAATCTTTTTCTCTTTTCAGGCATTGGACAATTCAGACGGAATACGAACATGAATCGAGCCCGGTGTGTCTTTGAAAGTGGGGAGTTCCAAGGCTTCTCTGATTCAAAAAGAATGTTGCACATGAAAGAGAGTTGTGTCCGAAAATAGAATTACATGCCACAAATTCTTTTGTGGCACAGTCGTGCTTTTGTTCGTGGATTTGTGCACAGCGAACATGGCAACACACACACGTACAGGAAGTCCGAGGAAACAGTGGCACAATCGTGATTTTTACTTTTTTTTGTGCTGTGTATAGGAATACGACAACGCACACGCACGTACAGACACATTGGTTTTATGGTTGGTATGGAGTTTTGTTGATACTGCTGTTCTTGCCAGTGGTCTTGGCCAAAGAGTCTGCTAGGCAGACTAGGGTTGGTGCGAGTAAACACTCGCCCTTATTCGTGAGTCAAATGCGTTTCTGGGGAGATTATCGGGGTTCGACATCCGGATGAGTCGGTGAGAGTCTGTTGAAATAATCCATCACACTCGCCATATTGTTGTCAAGTTGTGTTTAGCCAATACAGAACAAACAGGCACACAAACACACGGCTGTTGGGTTTGTGCACATCCTGCGCTCAAACACACGGCTGTTGGGTTTGTGCACATCCTGCGCTCAAATCCCACAGCAGTGATCTGGCTGTTTAACAAAAACACCATAAATCTTCGACAATCTGAAAGGTGTAACGCTATGTCGGGACTTATTCCGACCGGATTCTGCGGTTTCGGATATCGGCTGTTTGATAGGCTGCACATTTGATGGATCCTATCCACTGCGCCCTGGAAAAGGCGAATGGAAGCACAGCCTGAGTCCTGGAAATTGCTAAGGCTTTGCGGCAATATTGGCCGAATACAACTGGCCAAACAAAGGAAACTGGAGCTCGCTGAAAGTGTTTCCCGACAAATTGAACTGAAAACCACTGAAGTGGATCTCACGTGTTATAGCCAGGAAAGAAGATGCAAATGTGTAAGACCATGCTCTGCTTGAAGGCCTCAGTCCACTACTCAACATTGGACATGTATCTGCGTGTAAAGTGCAGGTATGCTCGAAACGATCCAAAATTTGGAAAGTACCGTCTCACTGTGAGGTCCAGATGCATTTCTAATGTTCAGTAGTGGAGCGAGGCCTTTAGTCTTTTGGGCATTTTCATCGCACTTTCCTTTCTGGACAGTCGGTGGGTTGACGTACACAATTCAACATTCAACACGCACCTGGATGTTTTTTGGGGCATATACCTCTGGATAGATCCACCCTTTCGAATGTATTGGGAACAGTACCAGGTCAGGATATACATTCAGAAGGTTGTGCAGTGGAGGGAGGCCGAGTACCAAGAGAGAGAGAACTTCACCCGCTTTGGGGCAGTTGAGCCTCTGCTCGGCATGGCCCAGAATGTAGAATAGTGAAATGGCGCGGCAATGGTTTTTTCCTCGTGGGCAGTGCCGAGCAGAGTTGAGGCTCAGTGCAAACTGGTGTGGAGAAGTGCACCCTCTCTCTGTGTCAGCATGCTTGTTCGTGGAGGGGTGAGCAGAGTTCCCTTCTCAATTTGTGGCAAAATGAGACAGGGTCATGGTACTTACAGGCTGCGCCGGGCACTCTCTGTCAGAGAGGGGGCGAGAGAGAGAGAGAGATGGCGTCGTGGCGATGACGATCAACATTTTGGCTTAGTTCCCTCCTCATCAAGCTTATGGCAGACCGTCTGACTTTGGTTCATTTCATCATGCCATGCGCAGGAAGAGAAAGACAGAAGGCAGGGCATGAGGGAACATCGATAAATAGGGTGCAACATGCAAGGTAAGATTGCTGGCATCAAGAAGGTTGTGGAGGGGGAAAACATCGTCCTAAAAGTGATGTGACGAGGATGTAAGTCGGGGACCCAATTCATCGCGGATTGGGAGGGGGGCGATCAGGGTGTGAGATTGAGTGGGAGGAGAAGGTAGGAATGTCAGCCAATCAGGGTGAGGATGTAGGAACCAACGACTGGCAGGGGGATGAAGGACAAGGCAACAAGGCAAGGAATGCGGGTCTTTTGTGCAACCAGTTTGCTAAACTCGTGTGCATGGGACGCTGAACCCCGTTTCCAGGGGTGTAGCTCACCACCAAGACAGGAGGCTGTTTTTTTGCAAGGCCTGAATGTGGATGGTTCATTTACCACCTCTCGGGTCGAGGCTATGCCCCTAGATGTTGGGAGGAAAAGAGAAGGTAGGCTGGTCATGGAGGAAGATCGGTACGAGGTAAGGAAAAAGAGATTTGGAGGGAGGAAGGCGGCCTCACCGTGGGGAGAGTGGAACAGGTTGCAAAGAAAGGAAAGAGCAGGAGAATGACGAAGGGCCTGAATGATGAGAGAGAGGATAAAAGTGGATATGCAGGCGACGGAGGAGAGCAATGAAGAAGAAAAGAAGTGGTAGACAGAGGAGGAGAGGAAGGGACATACCATATGCCCAGTAGCCATATAGAGTATTGGAGCAGTACGAGTTGGAAGAGGATCCCGATCGAGGAGACAAAGTGGTGGAGAAAGATGGGACGAGGGAAGCGAAGACACAGGACAAGGAGAGAAGAGGATGGGAAAAACGGATCGGGGGGGTGAAGATTGGCTGGAATCGAATAGGGAATGGATAAGGAAGAAAAGTGAACAGGTAGGGAAGAATGAGAGAAAGAGAGAGGAGGCCCAGATGCGCATTTGTTTTCTCCGAGCAGCACTGACGGTGTTTGTCCGTTCTGGTCGGTGTGGCTCTGAAAGGAAAAGGCAGGCGGAACACAGTCAAGCTGCTTGCAAATGGGCGTGCTCAAGTGCAATCTCTTTCTCTGCCTCCCGCTCTGTCCCTGCGGTGTTGTCCCTGAAGACGCTGAGAATTCCGTCCACACTCAGCCCCAGAAAGGAAGCAGGTGAGTTCGGCGGGGCGTGGCGAAGTGCACCCTCTTTCCCTCTCCCCATCCCTCCCTCTTTCTCTGCCTCCATCCCTTACAGCGGTGTTGTGTGTGAAGAGGTGGAGAGTTCCATTCAGACTCGGCCCAAAAACAGGATGCATGGGTTTGCCTGGCATGTGCAAAGTGCTCTCTCTCTCTCTCTCTCTCTCTCTCTCTCTCTCTCTCTCTCTCTCTCTCTCTCTCTCTCTCTCTCTCNCACACACACACACACACACACACACACACACACACACACACACAGAGGCACGGCAACAGTGTGAGGAATGGCGGAAAAGGTGCCGAAAAGAGATCGCAAGGCAGGAAAGGGGCTCAGTGCGGAGGCAGGGGGACGGGTTCCAAGGAAAGGAGAATGCAGAACAATGATGAAGGGACGGAATCGCGAGAAGGATAGGGTAAGCACCTCCTGGAGCAAGCGCGAGAGTGGACTGGTAAGAAAAGAATAGCAAGGGAATGGGAATGTGAACTGAAGTCCTGTCCTAGATGATTCTAAATGTAAGAACTAATGCGGAGAAAGAAAAAAAGAAAGAAAAAGAAAAGATGACGAAAGATTTGACTGTGTGATCATTTTTTCTGGGTCATTCTTTGTGTGCTGCTATGCTGTTGTATCTTGATGGCTGGTCCTGCTCCTGTCACTCTATTGCTGTGACGTCTATTTTTCTTTCTTTTTAATTTTAATTTTAATCATGTTTCTGCTGGTGGGCCCAGGTGGGGATGTTGCCAGACCAGTTGCGTCTGTCCTCTTTCATATTTTGCCCTCGCTGGCATTGTTGATGCCAACAACAAATGCTCATCAGCTCTATCTCCGAATCGGATCCAGAAATGATGATTGCATCACGATGTTTGTCAATTGTGCAACCAATCCAGTCAGTCGAGCATTCTTCTGGCTCATCAAGATAATGAATGTATTGATTTCAGTCTGTAAAAGGAGCGAGTAAAATCAGTGAATGACATGGTGTTTTTTTCTGCATCTGTTTCTTCATGCACATGCATCATCAGATTTTTATTGGATTGGGTTGCCTTTTTTCTTTTCACCATTTTTGCAGGCATCATTCCTCTGATGTTTATGCAGCAGTTGATTTGTTGATTTTAATTCTGTGTTCCGTGCTGGTCGACTGGAGCTTTCAAAAGTTGTTGACATGATCGCTTGCGGCTTTTTAACCACCACTCTACCCGACATTGTGAAAGTTGGGGGACCGGCAGCACATGTTCACGAGGGCTACTGGTAGCATAGTGTGGAGACCATGTTAATGAGGGCTACTGGTAGCATAGTGTGGAGACCTGGCAGCCGCCACCACTTATTTCGTGGTTAAAATGAATTTTTTTTATTATTTTTTTCCCCGGAAAGATCAGGGCCAAATCTACAGACCCTCCAATTTTCAGATTCTTTTATGAAAAATCGCTGAAATTGGGGTACGTTTTCGTTGGCCCACAAGTAATAGAGTGGCAAAAATCAACAAGTAATAGAGTGGCAAAAATCAAGAATGAGACAAATCGGCGTGGCATTTATTTCACCGACTAAGAGTTTTTCAAAAATATATGTATATTATATTTCGTGGAAAGATCATCACGACCTAATCCACAGGATCTCAACTTTTCAGCTTTTTCCCCTTATTTTTTGGAGCGTGAAAAATCGCCAAAGTTGGCGAGTGAAAATTGCAGGACTGGACCCACCTGTGCCTCCTGGTTGGTGGCCCCCCTGAAGACCACCTCCAAACTCACCGGAATGCCACTTTTTTGGTGGCGGGTAGAGTGGTGGKTTAAAAATGTATATCCTTGAGCTGCCCCAAACTACAGCATATATAGGCATTCATGTGGAGAAGGGACTGTGGTGATTGTTTCAAACATACACCGGCACATGCACGCACACTCACCTGTCCATCGCCCTTAGATACCCACACATGCACCCTGGAGAGAGAGAGAGAGAGAGAGAGAGAGGGAGATGGAGGGAGGTAATTCTGAGATACATTCTGTTCAATGGCCGACCCCCTGCGTGCCGAGTTTTCCCGAACCACCGTGACGTCATTTCGACTTTGTTTTGCCTGGCGCTTCCAGCCATTGAGGTCTGATACCCCGAAGCCCGGAAGTTGCGGGTCGTTAACGATAACGACCCGTGGCCGATGTATGGACCAAGCACTGCTGGTTTAATAGAGATGTCGGTTGAGGTGAGTGCGATGGGGGAGAACTAAGAATTGCCACTCGGA